AGGGCCCCCCCCCCTTTTCAACCCTCCCCCTCCGATTCTGTCCAGGTTCACAGACAGAGTGTCGAACAACGGTGGAACCTGCGCTTTGAATCTGCACCAACTCCCCCGTCTTGATCTTTCCCATCAAAGAGTCTGCGTGTTGTGTTTTGGTGGGGCGGTGAACCCACTCTGCTTCCCCCCCCCCCCCCCCCCCCAAAAAGCCATGGCGGTTCAAGCAGCTATGATCGCGGACACCATCACTGCGATGAAAAGGGCTCTTGAGCGCCAGCGTTTAGGTCTGTTCTTTCTTCCCTCTTTGTGTGTTGTCGGTCCTGTTTCTACCCTATGCCCTGTGATGGTCTTATGAAGTTTTCATCTACTGTGGTCTCCCGTTACTTGATGTTAATATTCCTCATATTCCTCATATTCCTCATCCTGCGAGGGGTTTTTTTTTTTTTTTTTTTTTTTTTGCTGACAATGTTTATGCTTCTTTTTTTTTTTTTAAACAGCCACCGGTGTCGATGACCCCATCACACAACCCACAAATCGCGGTAACAAGCTCAAACTGAATGCGCAATATGTCCATGAAGGTGCTCTGGGCTGCATGAACGGAGTGGAGTTCTATAGAAAGGTAAGTTATGGGTGTTTTTGCATGGCTTCTACTATTCTGCCTTAGTGTGTGTGCAAAAAAAAAAAAAAAAAAAAAAAAAAAAAAAAAAAAAAAGATAGAGAGAGAGAGAGAGAGAAGAGAAGAAAAGAAAGGGAAAAATGAAAGGTCGGGAATAAAACTGCTAACAACTGAGTTTCTTTTTGAAAACTAGAAAATCAATCATGCTGGTTATACAAGAGATATCCTGGAACGCAATCCGCCCAAATACGACTCTGAAGGCGATGAGTTGGATGAAGAAGATGTCGATGAACATGCCGATCCCGAAATGGGGGATGAAAACCCGTTTGCTGATATACACCTTGAACGTGAGCGGTCGTGTTAACAACGCCTGAACCCCTCCCGCTAGAATTGCCTGTCACAATGCTAATGGTGCAAATTTTCGGCGTTTATTGTCTTTTGCAGAAACCCTCGCTCCTCTGAAACATCCTTCCGAACTCGCGACCCACCCTTCAATGTCCTTTCCGTATACCTCTAGAATGCTCCATAAGATGGCGGAAGATGCCAATGCGAAGCTTCGACAAGAGCAGATAATGCTCCACAAGGCCAAACGGCTGCACAGGGAACTCCTGGGCGACGCCCCATGGATGCCTTGTGGCTTTCTGGAGACCATGGAGGATAGGAATATCTTTGACGTGAATTACGGATTGAATTCGTCGTCGAAGCATGGTAATGCGCGGGTTAAATCGGGCCACTCCTCGCGTAGCGGATCAGCTACACGTCAGAAGGATATCAAAAATAGCCTGTCGAATAACAAGACCGGGAATTCCGCTGTGAATGGCGTGTCTCCGGAGCAGACAGCGGTCGACCAAGATGTCGAGATGTTGAATGCTCCGGAGAAACCTTCGGAAAGCAAACCGACACCAGAACCGGAGGAGACCATTGGGAATGAATCCCTCAGGCCAAATGGACAGGCCGCATCACCCCCGGAGTCTACGAACGGCGACAACCTATCCAAACGCGGGACAGATAGAGATCGATCGCCCAAACCACCCACCAAAGAAGAACCTTCAAGTGCCAACGAGGAACCCACCAATGGTGTCACAGGAGCCAACGCCCCTGCCACCAACG